AATGTAGAATGTCTGAATGTGTATTACTGAAGGCTTTAACACGGGGATTTTCCATGGGGCTACATTAAGCTCTCTGAGCTCCTAGATGGGTTGAAAAATCATGGTTATTGTTCTCTGTTAGCTCTGACGTGGTGTTTAACCCTAGATCACATGAAAGGTATTGAATTGCAAATTTGACATCATGGAAGGATGGTGGCTGTTTGTCTTTGCTCCCAGGCTCCGGGGAGTAAGGATGTGTAAATGAGCCTCTCTGAGAGTGAAAACAGCTCCAGGCAAAATGGAGGCAGCAAGGAGAGAGAGAATTTTGCATTTAGGTCTGTTTGGAATTATCTTTTATTTCTATGATGCTGAGCCTGTGCTGAACTTGCACAAGATATTGTAGGGAATTCTTTGGATGTATCATAGATGATTTTGTTCTGATTTGCACCCATGCCTACATACCTGCTTCCCCTCCCTTCATGAAAATTTAAAGTTGATGCAACTACGGCAGTGTACCTGGTCATTGAATTATCTTCCCATGATGGTTTACCTTTGCAGTTCAAAGACATAATCCGTTTCCTTGACAAAATGAATTTAACACAGTTGCTCTCTGCTATGTTCAATTTCTTTCTCCCCCTTTCTATAAACTGCCCTTAAAAATCTTCAAATGTTAATCTCTTAACCTTTAAGAGCTCATTAGAGGGGAAAAGCACATCTCTCTGCCATAGAATCAATCTGTCACGTTTCTGCTTAAATGGAACCTTCTTGTTTGTTTTTCCTCCCACTGGTGTAAAGTTTTGCTGCATGTTTGGCTTAAAGCAGGCATGGCCAAACTTGGCCCTCCAGCTGTTTTGGGACTACCTTTCCTATCATCCCTGACCCCTGGTCCTGTTAGCTAGGGATGATGGGAGTTGTAGTCCCCAAACAGCTGGAGGGCCAAGTTTGGCCATGCCTGGCTTAAAGTACACAGGAGCAGGACCCCCTGTTTCATAGAATTGTAGAGTTGTAGAGTTGGAAGGGAGCCCGAGGGTCATCTAGTCCAACCTCCTGAAATGCAGGAACTTCTTAAAATAGCTTACATAGGAAGTATGTGGATTCCCTTTGTTCACAAACACATTTGATTTTTTTTAAAAGAACATGTTCTTTTGAAGGCTAACAGAAAAACACTAGCTTCATGGAGAGAAGCAGTACTCTGATTAAGGCATTGCCTGCTCTATGACTAACATTGCTTGGAGTGGGAGAGCATAGCTATAGCCACTGCCCACCCTCCCATCATCGTATCCCTGGATGTCCTGCATCCCCAACATTGGGTATGAAATGATAAAGAGGGGAGTCAGCAGTAAACCTGAAATCTCTTCCCCCATCCCATGACACAATCACGCTTCCAAATCACAGAGGGGAGCCTCCCTGTGCAGAGGAGGGCCTCCATTTCAGATCTCTCCCCTGAATGCATAACCGGGAATGGACCACAGTCAATGGGGACACTCCTGCAGAGTGTAGCCCTGCTCTCTTGTCTCACGTGATGTAAGAGTTCCTGTTGACAGTTCCCTGGCTATCTGCCCAGGAAATCAGAGGTGCAGAGTGAGCATTTCAGTTCTTTTATTTCAATCCATAGGAACACAGGAAGGCACGGAAAATACACCCTTTCGCTCAAGCCGACATTGCTCAGAGTAATGCTCCACCCACATTACTTGTCACTTGGCTGCTGCACAGATTCTAACACATCTGACTTCTGCCTCTGTTCACTGCTACCTTGCTCCTGTTCTTCACCACCCATTCTTTCCCAGCTCCTTTCTCCTTCTGGGGTGTGACCTGTCTCAAGCCACCAATTCGATGCCTCATTCTCTTCCCCTTCCCCCTCTCTGGAATGCTCTTAGGGTGGCGATCTCTACCACTCCTCCTCAGGCCATTCCCTGACACATGTTGTTGATCACATGACTTGGAGTGCCCAAATAGGCCCTGTGCAGTGATTACAGTCTTGAACCAGGAGTTAGGAGAGACAGATTCACATCGCTACTCCAACATGAAACTCTGGGCCAGTCACTAACATATCAGATGTGGTTTTGGCAAGGCTATATATTTGAGGTTAGGGATTGAACCATTGGCTTGCTCTGAGCTCCTTCAAAGAAGAAGAGATTACTGGGGTTACGAGGTCAATTGCCTATTGAAACCCTTTCGTGTGAGCAGTTTTGGCAAGCAACTCTTGTTTAAACAGTAGACTTTGCTTGTTGCAATCACACATGCAGAGAGATGCTTCTTGGCTGTCTCTTAGTGTGGAGCCAAGTCACCCAGCCTGAGCTTCCACAGCTTCCACCTGCCATGACCACCATGGGCAGCAACCATAGCAGATATGTTCTGTGTTAATGATGACATTTTATTCTCTTGCTAATTGTGCTGTTTGAAATATCCATTTCATATTTGACTTCCTTTAGTAATGTTTCTTTTGAAATGTTTAAGATAATATTTGTTGTAGTTAACTTTGCTGCCTTATATGTGCATTCTGTAGTTGACCTCCTTTGTCATGTTTCATTTTGAAATCTTTAAGATGGCATTTTAGTTTCCTGTTAATTATGCTGCTTTGAATGCATACTTTACATTTGACTTTCTTGAGTAATGTTTTGTTCTGGGTTGTTTTATTTGATGTTTTAATGTGTTGTAAATCTCTTGGAGATTTTATTTCTAAAAACTACAAAGTGGTATAGAAATGAAATGAAATGTAATGCTTGTAGGTAAGAATATAATAATGTTGTTTACTGTAGAAAGTGCATAACTTGGATAGAAAGCTTCTAAAGGTAAAGGGACCCCTGACCATTAGGTCCAGTCGTGACCGACTCTGGGGTTGCGGCGCTCATCTCGCTTTATTGGCCGAGGGAGCTAGTGTACAGCTTCCGGGTCATGTGGCCAGCATGACTAAGCCACTTCTGGTGAACCAGAGCAGCGCACGGAAATGCCATTTAGCTTCCCGCCAGAGCGGTACCTATTTATCTACTTACACTTTGACATGCTTTCGAATTGCTAGGTTGGCAGGAGCAGGGACTGAGCAATGGGAGCTCACCCCATCACGGGGATTCGAACTATCGACCTTCTGATCAGCAAGCCCTTGGCTCTGTGGTTTAACCCACAGCGCCACCTGTGTCCCAGAAAGCTTCTAGTTCTAGTCTAACTAACTAGTCTAGAGAAGAACAAGGCAGCCATGCTTGCTCCTTTGTACTCTCAAGGATATTTATAGACAACCTTTCATCTTCAGGTCTAAGTACAAGGAGGAAGTTGTAAAACGGGACACAACCTGAGAATATCAATCAAACATAGAAGAGATAGAGAGGTCAGCTCAAGATGTATAGGGGAAGCCTGGGGAAATGGAGGTCCTAACTCTGTCTTAACCCATGAAAACCCCTCTTCTGGAAGCTGAACTGCACCCAAACTTCCCGGATAAATAAAATCAAAACAATTTGAGAAGCAGACGGCGGTTATTAACTTAGCGGAAGTGTACTCATCAATAGCGTGGTTTGGTGCCAGGATCTGAGCTGACAACACATCTTGAAATGTCACGATAAGGTGAGACATCACACATTTATGTGGTCTTACAAACCTCAGCATCCTTAAGGAGAGGAATTGTTTATTGTTCAGCAGATGAAATTGATGATTATACCCAGGGCTAGCCCAGGACATTTTGCAACTGATCACAAACTGCCCTGCCACTGCCGCCATGCCACCACCTCTCCCACAGATGTATGGCCTCTCCCTGGCACTGCACCTGCACTGCTGCTAACCACAACTGCACCCTTGCCCATGGCTGAACCTGCACTGCCGCTATGATGCAGCAGTAGCAGAAAGGGCTCAGCTTTAGCAGTGAGGTCAGGGGTCTTGTGGCAGCAGCGGTGGTGCCATGGGTGAAGCTGCAGCAAGGCTTGCAGCAACACAACAGCAGGGTCAGGGGAATGGATCTGCCGCCTGAGGCAAATAGCTTCGTCTCAAGGAAGCATCAGCCTTGATTGTGCTTCCATTTATAACAAGGAAGTATGGGGAAATGTGAAGGATTTATCTATCATTCACACACACACACACACACACACACACACACACACGAATGTCATAGCACTATCTGTCAGCTGGCACTTATTGCGTTTGATCTTGCGATTTGTGTTTTGTTTTGTTCTTCGGGCTCGTATTCTGAATCCCAGGTAAATGAAACAAATGTGATTAAGTGATTAAAGTGCAGCTCACACAGCAGCTGGGAAGAGTGTCTTCGGTTGTCACATCTCTCCTTCACTGCTTCTGAATATGTCAGCTTTTATGTTTGCAAAGTAGGTTACTTCATCTGTGCCGCCTCCACTCTAATAATTGAAGCTGTATAAGCATTTTATAAATTGCCCTGAATGTCTTTACGTCGATACGTTGTTTTTTCTTTTTAAGATGAAAAAATGATATCACTAAATAGATTTATTGCTCCTGCCCCATTCTACCCCAATTCTCCACCTGTGGATCCTGAAAAATTGCATTGCATAATGTTGCCATTTTAGAGGCTGGCATGCCAATTAGATGTGATGCGAAATGTCATCAGTGCCACTTGCAAAGATCACATTTGTTTTATTTATTTTGCTTTCCTCATTGATTTCTGTTTGTCATTCGCCAGATACCATAATTGGTCTTAAACACACCTACTGATTACAATAAAGGTTAATTTCTGAGCTGCTTATTTTAATAAATGTATGTTTCATGATCAAACAGCCCTGCATGACCTTTCTATAGTAACAAGTGAGGCTTTGTGCTTCGTTTGTTTTTGTGGTCAGAAACTAGCATGATCTCCACGGGAAACAATGTGAAACAACCACATAACGTCAGTTTCAGAGACATCCCTCCAACTGCATTTATCTTTTAAGTGTCAGCTCCCAGGTCCCTCTGCAAGTTTATCCCCTCACTCCCTTTATCACCAACTGCTCCTGCTACACTTTCTTACACTTTTAAATAAGTTCGCTATGTTTTTATGCTGCATGTATTCATATATTCTTCCTATTTTGAAGTAAAGGGCATAGGTCAGTGGTAGAGCATCTTCCTTGCATGCAAAAGGGCCCAGGTTCAATCTCTGGTAATCTCTTTTTTTAAAAAAATAATATTTATTAAAATAAAACCAAATTATATATTCCAAATTATACAAATTATCCAATAATCAAACAATCCCAATGTTATGCCTAATGATAAATTATTATTATTTTTTAGCTGACTTCCCATTCTTCGAGATCGGAGGGAATCCTAATCATCTCATAGTTCTACTGCATTTCAAAATATTACAATAATTCCCTTAATACATTCTGATGTTAATCCTCCATTATTTTCAACAACCTCTGCGTTCATTCTGCAAGTGAGTTTAAGTTGAAATAAAATGTTTCTGTGTGGATTTTATGTCTTTATCCTTCTTCTTTATAGTCCAAATCTGTAGTCCAAGATTCCCCTCTGTAAATCAACATCCTCTCTTCACAAACTGGTGTTGCTGCCAAATCAGTCCAGGAGTCCTCCACTGCAGGTAGCTGCCATATCGACAAAACAGTCCAGATAAAAACAAATCATGGCTTCTGCCCAATGTTGTTCCTTAACCAGCAGCTATTCAAACATTACCTTTTCCAGGGGGTGGGGGTTACCAAGTAAACTGGAAGTACAAGTATTGAAAAGTAAAATGTTAGAGGTTTACCCATAGCAATATAATTTGATTCAGCTAGCTGGTCAGTCTACTTTCGGTTTCACTCCTGGCTCCTTGCTGAAGTAATACAGTGGTACCTCATGTTACATACGCTTCAGGTTACAGACTCCGCTAACCCAGAAATAGTACCTCGGGTTAAGAACTTTGCTTCAGAATGAGAACAGAAACCGTGCTCTGGCGGCGTGGCAGCAGCAGGAGGCCCCATTAGCTAAAGTGGTACCTCGGGTTAAGAACAGTTTCAGGTTAAGAACGGACCTCCAGAATGAATTACGTTCTAAACCCGAGGTACCACTGTTCCGAATCACAAACCTCCCAAGCAGATATCCAAAGTTCTTTGGTGTTTCTCCAGTTGTTAATGAGATGTCTGTTCTAAATCGGGGAATCTTTTGATCTTCTTCCAGGAAACCAAAAATTGAAAGCTTGATTTTCTTTTTTTTCTTTTCTTTTTTTGAATCTCTGGTAATCTCAGGAACAACTGAAAATGACTCCTGTCTGAAACTGCCAGTCAGTGTAGACAGTACTGAACTTGATAGACCAGCAGCCTGACTCAGAATAAGGCAGCTATCTATGTCCCTAATGTCAAGTAATGCAAAGTACCCATGGATGTTATTCCCGTATAAGAAGACAAAATGCTTCCAGTGAAGCTTCGAAGTATAAACCCTGTATCTTTTCTATATGAACTTCCTTCCAATTTCTGCAGCATTTTCCTCAGATGTACACCAGTCTTTACTAAGCCAATGTAATTCGTTTGGAAATTATGCAAGTGGAGAATGAATGTTTGGCTTAGAAAAGAACACTGTGGTACAAGGAAAGGCGCAACAGGCTGTGTTTGCTTCATCACAAAGCTAGGAATGCAAAATAAAGCTGTACAAAGATGCATGTCAAAGCATGAGATAATTAATCTCCTCATAGTGATATTACTTTGAGTAATCTTTATTGAGAATGTTTGATCCCTGTACTCCCTAAACGTCTTTCTTTCTTTCTTTCTTTCTTTCTTTCTTTCTTTCTTTCTTTCTTTCCTTCCTTCCTTCCTTCCTTCCTTCCTTCCTTCCTTCCTGATTTTTGTACTATTATTCTTCAATCAATAAGCAATTAAAAAAATGCCAGCAATGAGCAGTGCCTTACATGGCCTGTGTAAGTGTGACCTCAGTCAGGGGTAGGCAGAAACTCAGTCACTGATAAATGTCTTTTTGACCCTGTGCTGACAACTTGTGGTCATGAAAACAAACTGGTTGAAAGGAGGGTTGAACAACTGGTTCCCTGATAACCTAAGAGCTTGAGCAGAAGACAGTATCTCTTAGTGAGATTTCTGCATTTACTTGAAACCGTGTGATGTGTCTGATGCCACAGCCCAGGGGTGGGGAATTTGTCAGCAATCAGTTATCAGGGAAGGGCTTCAGGGCAGAAGTCAAAGACCTCACTTAGCAGAATGGTGATTTACCTGCCCTTCACCCTAAGGTCCTAGGCTGAATTGCAACAAATAAAGAACTATACTGGAAATAGTCAGTGCTTTTTTGGGGGGGGCGCAGGGGTACACATACCCCTAAACATTTTGTGAATCTAATTTTGGCCTCACAGATCCTGAAGCTGAGGCTCCAAAACTTTGGCCACCTCATGAGAAGAGAAGACTCCCTGGAAAAGACCCTGATGCTTGGAAAGATTGAGGGCACAAGGAGAAGGGGACGACAGAGGATGAGATTGTTGGACAGTGTTCTCGAAGCTACTAACATGAGTTTGACTAAACTGCGGGAGGCAGCGGAAGACAGGAGTGCCTGGCGTGCTCTGGTCCATGGGGTCACAAAGAGTCGGACACGACTAAACGACTAAACAACAACAGATTTCAATATGAGTAGGAAAATGAGAGTACCCCTAAACATTATTATTTTTTTAAGAAAAAAAGCACTGGAAATAGTTTAAAACAACTTATAATCACAGAAATTAGGTGGGTCCTAAAATAAACATATCTGGCATCAAAGCCCAGGATAATGAGGTGCTTCTTCAGCAGTTACCAAAAACAGTACAGTGGTACCTCTGGTTGCGAACGGGATCCGTTCCAGAGGCCCGTTCGCAACTTGAAGAGAATGCAGCCCGCGTATGCGCACACACGGGTCATGATTCGTCGCTTCTGCACATGCACGTGACGTCATTTTGCACGTCTGGGTATGTGCAAACGGCAAAATCCGGAAGTAACCCTTTCCGGTACTTCCGGGTTGCCACGGGACGCAACCTGAAAACACGCTACCTGAAGCAAACGTAACATGAGGTATGACTGTATAATGAAGGTGCCAGCCATTCCACAACTTAAGGGATGCCACAGAAAATGCCCTCTTCCAGGCCACCATCCTCTGAGTTTCTGAAGATGATGGAACAACCAATACGGCACCTTCTGTGCATTAACACCTGATAGGGTCTCTAGAGAAGGAGGTAATCTTTTGGATATTTGGGGGCCTCAATAGGGCTTGAAACACCTTGAAATGGGTAGGTGGGTCCCCCAAAGGCAACAAGACTTGCTAACCCGATTTCAATGGAAGTAAGGAAATACTCCTTGCCATCTATAGAGTGACAATTATGTCCAGACTCTGAAATTTCAGATCTGCACCTCTGCTCACAACAACATATAAATCAAAGACAGGCAAAACTAAATAGCTTTTGGCCAAGAATATCCTTAAGTCTATATTTACCTTATTACTGCAATTGGCATTGTAGGGTTGGTTGAAATTCCTGATATGGTGGCAGATCTGACCGTGAACAAGCACAGAGCTCAAAAACCCTTCATGAGCCCAGGAGAGTGTGCCTTATCAAGGGGCAACCAATGAGGCTTATCTAATCTAATTATTACTGTGCTTCCAGGGGAATTTAGAACCATTATGTATATCTGAACTTAACATGACCCCGCACAGTTAATTTTCCTTAAACAAAGGTGGTCTCGATAAGGATAGTGGCATTTGTATCCATCTACATTTTATCTCTGTGTTTAAAAACTTGTATTAGGAACAGACAGGTTCTCTTGAGTGGAAAAAAAAGTTCTGCTTGTGGACCAGGGATAGCCTATGCTGTTGAACTACAACTCCCATCTGCCCCACCAGTATGACCAATGTTCAAGGAATATGGGAGCTGCAGTAAAAAGAAAATCAGGGGAGGGGGGCACCATCTTAGTTAACCCTGTCATAGATGTTATGTTTCCCATAGCTGTATTTTGTATGATACTTTTTCCACATGTGACACCCATGCTCTGAAGAAGTTATGTCCTGAGCTATCATGAATTTAGACAATTTTGATGGAAGAGAACATGTTTTAATTAGAACATTAGAGATATTTATTTCTACACAAACACATATACATATATCAAAGAGTCACACATTGAAGGAGAATATTGTTTCATATGTTTTAGGTGAAATCTTTGCAAATGGCATTTATCTAGCACATTTTTGTGTGAGGTATTCCCTAAGCCTTCCCCAACAAAGTACATACAATTTTACTCATCCAGAACTGACACAGGCTGATATTTTGCCATATATTTCCTCCTAGGCTTCTCCCTGTAGTTATGCTATCCTTGGACAGTGAAGCTATTCAGTGCATTAGCATTTACATTATGCCAAGTGCTGCAATTGAAACATTTATCCTGCAATTTCCATATAAATGTCTTAAACAGCTCTCCAGCTTGTCTACATGTTCAGCTATAAAAGAGTCATCTTTTGTTGAAGAGGCTAATATCAGATGTAGTAATACCTTTACCCCAAGGCAGGCCCTCTTTGTAATGATCACTTTTTAAAAAAATAATTTAGGTTCACTTTCCTTTTCTCTGTACAGACGCCTCCATTCATAATGAATTTAAATCCACGCAACACAAACCCATCTGGAGATAGAATTATGTAGGAGGCTCCATTTTGGAAAAAAATACATAATTGCATTATAATAAAGATGTCATTTCTGAAGATAGTGGGTAGTGAAATATGCCATAAGCTGAGACAGGTGCCAATTATTCTTATAGATATTATTCTTTTGAGATAACTCAGTTGGGAGTTTTAATAAATAATATTCTGTTCGATAGGAAAATCTCTGGTCTCAGAAACATTAACTGGATGAGAAACAAAAGATGTTTGTCTACTGGAGCCAAAAGCAGACTCCAAAGAGCATTGTGTTATTAGAAGGACAGCCCAGATTTATATGAACGATGCCTAACATGACTTTAACCAACATCTAACAAAAAGTATAGCCTATGTGGCACCTCTTTTGTTCTCCCAGTAATTCTATGCATAGAACTGTTATGAAGCATAATTGTTAGTCATGCATGACCAGTGCAAGCAAGTAATACGTAAATCCAATGATGATTTTTGTGGTCATTAATAAGTGTACTTATAAATGTGCAGCATTGCTGCAACATGGAGAACAAATGATATGCATGTCC